TTCAGTGGGTCTTAGGAATAAAGGAAGCAATGTACCGTTGCAACTTTCTAAATCGGAATCATGCCCCAGTCATAACAGTAATGAAATAGGGTTCAAGGAGAAGATAAAACCAAGCAACTGACAATAAGGTTCACACTATATTTACTCTGTATGGTTGAGCATCCACTGTCATAAGAGAAGAAACTCCAGACATGACATCTTCAAATGTTACTTCTCATCACTAAAACACCAACTACCCAGAAAAAGACAAATTTCTAGAAACTTCCACCTTTTCAGTTTTAAATAAATGGACTTCATTAAGAAAATTCCATCACTTTACCTGAGGGCAATCAAACAGCAAGACACACTACACACTTACTATACGTCAGGTACTCTATGGGCTACAAAGGCAGTACAAAAATATGATTCTTATCTTAAAAAGTTACGATCAATCCAAGGGATAAGACACATAACAAAATCTTCAAGAAGAATGGTAAAAGTGCCTTACAAATGAAATAAACAAACTGTTCTAGGAGCAATTTGGGAGGCCAGGAGAGACCTCACATTCTAGATCAGGGATGAAAAAGGAAAGGCTGATGAAAGAGAGCTTTTTGAGAGGGAAGAAAAAAAAAACCAAACCCCAGCATGAACAGAACTAAGAAGATGGAGAAGTCTTCCAAAAAAAGCAAGGATTTCAAATGGGAATATGGTATTTGGGGAGGGGAGAAGTTAAGTATGAAGGCTAGCGAGATTAGGCTATCACCAGAGTGTAGAGGATTTTGAATGACATACTAAGGTGTCTGAATTTTGTCATACTAGCAATGACTTATCAGCAAAGAACAAACAGAAGCAAATGGTACTTCAGAAATATTAATCTGGCAGTAATAGACAAGAAAAAGTGGAATGGGGTAGTTGAGAGGCAGGAAAACCAGTTAGAAGGTGACTACAGTATTTCAGTAAAAGGACACTGAACTCAGATGTAACTAACAGAAATGGAATTCTTTATAAGCTAAGGAAGAGTTTTAAAATTTTTCATATTTCCATATAATCAAGGGAATTTCCTATTAATTAACTGACCAAATCAAGCTAAGGGGACCTGATCACCTGAGAGGCTATAAATGCCTTTGTGAAAAGTTATTGCATTCCAAAACCTGCGCACCAAAAGGTTTATCTGAGGCTTAGTCATGTACCAAATCAAATGGTAGGGTTCACCTTGCAAAAGACACAATCCAGTTATTATCAGCCCTAGATGGTTCACACTATTTCTACACTAACATCTAACAATGTTCTTGGAAAGTGACAAACAATCATCTTTTGAGGGAAAATACTTTATGCATTTTTTTTCTTTCCATCATCTTTATCAGTACAGGTCCTTGGGAATTCATCAGTTCCTACTGCTTATTTTTCATCCATGTCATCCTCTCAATTAATGCAGGAAAGAGGGTTGAGACATAGAAACACCAGATTAGGGTGTCAAGCAAAAACAACCCCTAGAGTAGATGAATAATCTATAAGGACTAAAAAAAAAAAAAATCTTGCTAGTATGCAAATCACTACACAATAAAACAAAGAGAGGCTGTATCCAAGAAGTCCAATAAACATCAATGTAAGTATTTCCAATTCTAAATTTAAAAATTACTTTTTTATGTCCACTAAATTTACTATGGTCAAGGAAAATGGCAATCAGTTGAAAAGTACTACTACAGAAGTTGAAATAATGATAAATTCTGAAATAGAAAATAATTTTGAAAAATCTTAGCTGTGTTCATGGAACTCATCTGGCAGAAACAATTATTTTTGTTGTACAGTTTTGGTTCAGTGCTTAAAGTAGCTGAGTTAGGTGACTTTAAACCCCCATCTCCAAAGCCTTAAGTTTTTAGAAATACAAACACTTATCAGTAATAACAGCTTTAATTGTGTGGATTAAAAAACAAAAATAAAAACAAAAAAAATGCCAGGTTTTTGATTCTATGGAAGCCTATTGGAATAGACTTTATTGATTCTTAGGGAACTGATTCATTCTGAAAACTAGTAAATAAAGAGAATCGTTCATTCTGTCATTCCAGTAAAAACTGTTTTCAAGGTAACCAAATAGTTGATAAGATAAAGTCCTTTATAGAAAAACTCTAGCCAATAAGAAGGAATGACAGAATTAGAATATCACCATCTTGCAACCTATAATGAAATAGTGGATCTAGATAGTGATCAAAGGCTGCCACTCTGGGTGTATGGCTGATGGAGAATTGTATTAGACTGATAATACCTTTATCCATTATTAGCCTTATTATCACAAAAAGAGAGATAAGCAGACATAATGTACCCTCTGATGGATGTACACAATACCACCTATGAAATATTCTTGCCAAAATAAAAATAAAAAATCAAGCCTGTATCTGTGCAAGCTTCTAGATCTAACTACCATGAAATAAAAAGGGATAAATAAACATGTTAAGTACTATCACAGGGATGTATGTAATCAATGAAATCCAGAATGTGGAAAATTCTACAGAACAAATGACTGGGTTTAATAAATGACAAGGGAAAATAAAAGGTAGGTGGAACTATGACAGGACTAAACAAGACTTAAGAGACATATCAATAAAATATGGTATATGAACCTTATTTAGATCCTGATTCAAACATACGAACTGTATAAAGACATTTGTGAGTCAACCAGGGAAATATGAACCCTGATTGGCCATTTAATATTAAGCAAGTGCATTAAAATTTCTTAGGAATAATAATGGAATTATGGTTATACTTAAAAAAAGAGTTGTCTTTTGGAAACACATAAGTTATTCGGCAATAAAGTAATATGATGTCTAGGATTTGCTTTAAAATAACTATAGGAGGTTGTCATAAGTGAAACAAGATTGGCCATATGTTGATTATTGAAGCTGGGTCATGGGTACATGAGGTCATTGTTCTGTTCTCTCTACTTTGGTATATGTTTAAAATTTTCCATAGTAAAAAGTAAGACAAAATATTTCATTTCCTTTCTCAGTAGGGAAGCAGAAAAAGAAAAACAAATCAGAGGGAACATAGCAATTTCAGCTACAACTAACTACAGTTAATACTCATATTGCTGACAAATACATTTGATAACAGCATCTTCTTGATAAAACTTGCATAAAATTTATTTCATTAAAAAAATGGACACAGATAGATCATTATGATCATTACAGCATTTATTATCCAAAGGTAGAAATAAAATCAAGCAATTCAATATTATAAAAGCCTCCCATTCATAAATTTAATAATCACTGATTTGCCTTTTCATCATAGACCCTAGAAATCCATGATGTAAATGGTAATTAGTAATTTTACCAAGGCATAAACTTTAATCACAAGAAATAAATCACCAGTATACAGAGGAGTTAGATAACAATGAGTGAACCTAGCAGACCACCTAGCAACCACATCTCAAATTCTCTATTCCTCGATTCATGAAGTGATTAAAACTGTTTTCTCAGCATAACAAAACCATCTGCTGATGACAGTAAAGGAAATAAAGAAAGGACAAGGAGGGCTAAGGAACTGATTACTGTTAGTCAAAAATAGAAATTTTAAATTAAATTTTAAAAAGAAATGTTGAATTTGGCTGTAACTTAAATCAATGATGTGAACAAATCCACCACATGCTCTATATGATCTAAAGAAACAAGAAAAATAACTTATGAAACTATTTTGGGGATTGGTCCAATCAGTGCAAAACTTGCATTTTTTTTTTTTCCTTTTTGTCTTTTTTCATGTCCGGCAACGGATCGCAACCCTCAGTGTCGCGCCCGTACCGGACCGGGACCGGCAACGGGATCGCAACCCTCGGTGTTGCTCACACACCTCGCTCAGCCAGTGAGCGGGAACCGGTCTGTATGTGGGATCCGAACCCTCGGCGGGAGCGCCACCGCACTCCCAAGCGGCGCACTGTAGCAGTGTGCCACCGGGCCGGCCCAAAACTTGCATTTTTGAAGAAAAATATATAAACTACAGTAGTATTCTCAAATTGTAAATTCATGAAGGTCATAAGAGGTACCCCTTGAGAGCAAGGTTCTAAACACTGTACTTACGTTGAATATCTCTTCTTTCAATTACAAAATGAGAATTTTCTATAATTCCTTTTCCAGCTTTATAATAAACACAGTATAAGAAGGACCACAATTTATAAAAAAAAAATTTTAAACTAAAAGAATGGAGAGCTAACAGGCATAAATGAGAAATTTTAAAGTATTACTCATGGTAGCAGATATGTTCTTGGTCTGTCATATATTCCTTCCTTTAGGGAACCAATTCTTCCCTCCCATTCCATGTAATGTGGGTCAGACTATTCCTTCTCATCCGTGTCTGCACCCAGGGCCCAAACCTGGTCCAACAGAGTGCTCCATGCGACTTGGCCAAAGGACTGGTTCAAGGATAGGTATATGAGCCAAGATAGAACAGTCAGAGTCTTCCCCAGGAACTTTCTTTTGGAAAATTCAAAAAAGACATTCTTTTTTCCTTTGAGATCATAGAAATTTAAAGACACATAAACTGGTACTCCTTTTGGCCACCTTCCCCAGTGCTAAGAAAAAGCTATCTGCAGCAAAAAGAATAAAAAAACTAATGCATGAGTGAAGCAGAGTATTGAAATGCAAAACAAAAGCAAGAACAAAAGTATATTCAAATGACATCAGTAAGACTCATGGATATAGATATCCTCAAAGCTACTTCCACTCCTGGACTTTTAATTTATGTGATTTAATAAAAGTCTCTCTCTGCTTAAGCTAGTTTGAGTTGATGTTCTATAGCTTAAAATGGAAAAGTTTTTAATATATTTTTACTAAACAGAGATAAATAATTTACCTAGTAAATCCAGTAATTATTCCAGCACCCTCTATAATAAAAGGCACATTTTAGATTATATTGACTTCTTACCTTCAGAACACTTATCTTTTTCCTAACAAAGGTACTTTTTAAATTATAACTAAGCCTCGTCATAGAATACACAACATGTAACCCTGAATAAATGTGATCTGGGTACTCACACTCATCCAGCCCCAGCTGATAGGCCAGGTTCTGTAAGCCTCGTACCTTCTCCATCAAATTAGCCGTGGTGAGGCTCCCCAGTTCTGAAACAGAATCATTTATTTCAATATCATTTATTTCAATACCATTTCTTCCTATTACTTCTGTAGGAACAACTCATTTGGGCTGGGAATCCTTATAATAAAAGTTTTCAAGCTTAATTCCTATTGAATGAGTAGAAAATAAATCCATATCTCTTCTCCCCCAATCTTACACACATGGGCCGACCCCGTGGAGCACTCAGGAGAGTGCGGCGCTGGGAGAGCAACGACGCTCCGGCTGCGGGTTCGGATCCTATATAGGAATGGCCAGTGTGCTAACTGGCTGAGCGCTGTGCGGGCGAAACCACACCAAGGGTTGCGATCCCCTTACCAGTCACGAAAAAGACAAAAAAAACAAACAAACAATCTTACACACATACTCATACACACACGCACACACAAATTAGTGAATTTTTCCACCACTGCAAAATGTCTCAGATGAACTTACCCACTTTATGTGAGAAGAGTTAGCATAAACAAAATAATATATTCTGTTTTATCCTAAGGATTCATTTATAACACTCATTTTGACTATCATACGAAATGATACCTTGCAATTTGACATAGCAATGAGAAAATATGAAACCTTGCAATTTGACATAGCAATGAGAAAACCGTGCAGACAGATCTCTGTCTTGCAAAATGGACATTGTTTCCACTGTCCCCATTATTTCAATTAACAATAAAATAGTAATGAAACAATTACTATTCCCCATTTCTCTAAGTTTAGAAAACAAAGACTAAATATAATATAATCCAAACTTCCTGTTCAAATCAAAGTCCTATAAAAAATTTAAGTTTACCAGGTAAAAACACAGTATACTTAAAATAAAACTTACTTTCCTAAATTTTTATTTAAATAGCATTCAATTCCTTTTAGGTTTAGGACACAGGCTAATTTGCATGGAACATAATACACTAAAAATTTAAAGTTTCCTTAGGATATATGCTAATGAGATATTACATAAATATCTGTTTGGAACGTTAGAACAATGAACGCGAGATGCCCTTGAGACTTAATTTTTCTATGGCTGGAAGAGGGAATCTGTATTTAAGCATTTCATGCAGAACAATAAATTACTTCTGTAATTAAATAAAGGCATTTTTTCTCCCATTTACCATGCTGCAGTCATTGTCTTTATCTAACATAAGAAGACTTTCTTGATCTGTTCAGTTGCTTAAATAGCTCAAGAATCCCAGGTTTTGGGCCGGCCCGGTGGCGCACTGCTATAGTGCACCGCTTGGGGAGTGCAGTGGCGCTCCTGCCGAGGGTTCGGATCCCACATGCAGACCGGTTCCCGCTCACTGGCTGACTTGGGGAGTGCAGTGGCGCTCCCGCCGAGGGTTTGGATCCCACATGCAGACCGGTTCCCGCTCACTGGCTGAAGAATCCCAGGTTTTTACCTTAATTTCAGTCTATTACTTCACAACCTTCATGAATCTTATCACTACTTAAAATAAATAAAGTAGAGCAAAACCAAAGAAAATTAATGTTTTTAATTTAAATTTCCACTTTGTGGGGCCGGCCCGGTGGCGCACTGCTACAGTGCGCCGCTTGGGAGTGCGGCGGCACTCCTG